CTCGTCTAAGAGGGAGGGTGGCGTCACTGACTTGATACATCGGTAGGCAAGCGCATGGAATTGTACAGACCAAATACTAACTCATTCAGTCACCATTAACAATAACTGGTGAAGTACGCATGACAAATCCGTCACGAATCGATCAACGGCGAGCGAGGAATTTGCCATATATGTAAATGTTGTTCTTGTCTCCACCGTACGACTCAAATACTATGCAATATGGTCAATATGGTGAACAATTTTGATGAAATTGAGTCCGGAAATATGAAATGAAATAGTCCGGAAATTAAATAGAGACGGCAAAAAGATCGATAAAACTAGCTGAGAGACAGGCGAAACGAAGGACCCGCATGGTGTGGTGGTGAGCGCGTTACTCCCCGGAAAGGATAATAGCACGTTCGTTCCCCACCGCAGACACTTGCGGTCTGAAGTTCTGCAAATATCTCAGCATTATAGAAATCGAGTCTGTTTGTTGAAGCCGCTCTCTTGAGGAGTCACTGACTTGATACATACTTTGATAGAAGGGCTAAACAACCGTGATGCATTAGCGACAGCAGAATAAAGCTTGCAGGTTGTTAGCAAAACAGCGTGGACAATTCTTAATGTAAACGACAATGTCCAGCCCAGACAAGTCACATTTTAGACCTCCTGGTCAAAATTTGCCGACTATTCTTTTTGATAAGTCGCTTTCATTGCAAATTCATTTTGTTCCAACATTCTGAAGCATTTGAAGTGAATAATTCAAAATCAGAATCGCTCGGCGAATCCAAATTCCTTCGTAACTACCTGTCACCTAGTAATCCCGTTATTCACCAACTAACTAAATGTGGTACGACTAAATTCTACATTCCTCGTCGAGTACCAGAAGGTCCCAGTGAGCACCTATCGCCCGAGCGACATGGAGATAACCACACTTTTGATGTAATGCCCTTTATTTCAACTGCTTTCGCAAGAAGTCTATTTATTCTTAATTTTTTCTTGGTAAGAATGTTACTCTATTAGCTCAGCTCAGTCCTATATTTACATTTAACAAAGCTACCATTTAGAAACTAAAAGCTCAGAAGAGAAACGAAAAGATGAATGAAAAGGATGACGCTTTCTGGTGGCTTTGCGCTCTCGGAGATGCAGGCCTTCAAGGTCCGCATCTAGATGTCGGTCTCGTGGCATCTACTACTAAAACACACTTCCCTAATGGTAACGACATGGCACATAGATGAGATGTTCATTTCGATCTACGATAAACATTTGTGTACACAAAATTTTAGCGCTGTGCCCATAGTTTCGTATTGTTGGCTGTGAAAGTGAAAACGGTCAAAGAACAAATAAAATTCGGCGAGGACATTCTTCTGCACAGAATACTAAATGTCTCTCAAGCATTTAGTGGAAAGAAAAAGTGGGAAACAATCTTGCAGGTGAATAAGTTTTACGTAACACATTAAGGAACGAATAAATTGAAATACCTAGGCAAAACTTTATTACGGATAAAGGAGAACCAGCTCCAAGCACTTCCTTAAAAATTGGAAAAAAGGTGGAAAGAGCGAATGATACGATAATGTTTACCCTGAATGATCTAGCCATCGCACTATCGCTAAGGAATATCCATGGGTGTCGAACTGCGATATGTCGCAGCAACTTTATCAACCGGAATAGTCAGTCAAGATGGAGAGCTCTACATGTTTGTCCAGCAGTTCCTCTAAAAGCACGACAGAGCCAGGAGTGCTACTCACTGCTGATTTCGAAAAAACGATAAAAGTAAAGGAATTATATCAGAAGTCAAGTCGGACACGAAACTAGGGCGAATAGGGAATTTAGTCTATTCATCTCCACTTAAGTTACGCGGTGATTAAAGGGATTATGACAAGATGAGATGAGAGAAGAGATGAAGATGATAAAGAGATTATAATGACCAGACGTGATAACTGATGTTTCCAATATATGTGTTTAGACTAGCTGGTAAATAAAGTATTTTCAATCTAAAGTATCAAGCATTCGGTAGCGATAAACACATATGCATCACCCTCTTCGTGCAGAAACATGTTGGCAACGAGGTTAGAGGAAGAGATGGATTCGTTGCAACTTATCCATTCTTTAGTATTAAAAACATAAAAAGTCAACCACTTGCCTGTGATGGAAGCCGTTCACGTTCACTTGGTACGACGTTCATCGTTGGCCAGCTACGTTACCTCAGCACTGTAGTCATCGTCATCCACTAACAAACAATGATACAATGTAAATGATGAGATTCGTCACGTTAGCAAATTTAATCAGACATTGGTGAAGGGGTCTTAAAAACTAATGCAACAAAGAATAACGAATCAGAGAGGAAATGCTCTATAAAACATCTGTAATACAACGCAAAATGGTTCATTACGATGTTCACCCGGGTTACTATATCCATCTAGTTTTCAGAATCTAATATTGTTAAAGTTAGTGCCAAGAGTACGGTAAGCAATGAAGATTCAAGGATATGATAACATTACTTAGGACTAGATTACCACAACACATAAAATCACAAGGATACCCTATTTGTTCGTTAAAGACGTTCTCTCTTGTCATTTTTGCAGTTCTACCGAGAATGATGGCTTTCAACTCATTGTGAAAGAATCGCAGTAAAACCTACGGACACATTTTCGACCGCGGGTTCGAAGCCCGACTGAGGTTCCGGGTCCAAAATCTGACATTACAGGCGACTGAGGTCAAGACTGGGGGTCCAGGTTTTGCAAATATCTCAGCATCTTTGTGGTTGTATTTCACATACTATCCTGTCATGGAAATACAGTAGGCATTTAATTTACTTTTTAAAGTCAACAACACAAGTTACTTCTCGAGAATGAGTTGTGCAAAGACGGACAAGTAGTTGTTGGTGACAAACGGTGCGGGTTCACAATCAATAAACATGTCGCGAATCAATCGACAATTGCGACGGCAAACAGCTGATTGGTCTATCGAACAAAACCAGTCAAATGGGACGAAAATGAGTCAGAGTTATGGAATTCAACTCCAAATTTTTCGTCGGTGAATTCGTAAGAGGAGAAACGGAAATAAAACTTTACGTGCTCTAAACAACATGTGCACGAAAAATCCCTGTCACATTCTGTAAAGCTCGTTATAGAGGAATTTCCAAGGCACTGTTTTTCCATCTTCTTTTTGTTGATGAACAATTTTTAGAAAAGCGGTGGTTAGACGGAAATTCGACAATGGAATAAAAATAGTCGATGTGACAAACCACAATGATGCTGAGATATCTGCAAAACTCCGGACCGCAGATGTCTGCGGTGGGGAACGAACACGGTATTAGCCTTTTGGGTGTTAACCCGTGCACTACTACGCCATGCGGATCCTTCGTTTCGCCTGTCTCTCAGCTAGTTCTCGCAGCCAATAAATACTACTGATATAAGGGATATACTACTGATATACCTGTATGTTTGATAATACAGAGCCAACGAAAACAAAAAGCAACACTGATAGGATGAAATTCAAGAGCTGTAGGAACTACTTACGAGCGTTTCAGACTGTACGCTTGAAACTAAAGCCATCCCAACGCCATTGCCACGAGATCATCACAGAATGAGAAAAAACAACTGAAAATTCTCCCTCTCTTCCAAAAAGAAAGGACACCAACGCTTCTGCTTTCGTTCCTAAATGGATAAAGCGTAGAATGGTGATAAAGTTTCTAATGTTGATCAATTCCTGAGAGATGCTCTATGTCATGCATCCGACCTAGTTCGTAGCATCGTTACAGATGTAATAAATCACTGTTCTGATTATACCAAACAAATCTGACATTAGCTAGCCGACCCCAGAGTGATGGTGAGTTTGCTGTGCACGTTTGTATTCCAGGACACCTAAATACATAGATACCGTGCTGTATTGATGGAAACTGATGAAATATGTACAATTTATCAAAATAATAACATTCGCGATCCACAGAGATTCTATCTAGTGAACAAGACACTACTTCGTCAGAGGAAGCTACTGAAAAATCAGTCGCCACAACAGCAACGAGTAGTTGAGGATAACTTCACGATTTCCAAGATATGAAGATTCATCCTGAAGTTCTCGAAGGTCTCATTGTCTATCTCAGTTGCTGCCTGATGAGTGTATTATAAAGCTTGTTTTAACCGCATGTTAGTATATGAAAACAGAAATCGTACATATCTACAAAAATCGCTTCCCACATCTCCAGTTCTCGAGCCTAGGAATTCCTGCCAAACACATTGTCAATAATACAATTGATTAAATATTAATAAATAAATAAATTATTATTTTATCGGGATTTATGATGTGACTAACGAATCCATTTGACGACTGATAACTCCAGTCATCTGCGTGGTCTATTGCTCCTTGACTTTGTTGACAAATTAAAGATAAGACACGAAAGATCAAACATCTTCACTCTCCTATGCATTCGGCAGCTCTGGAAACAGAAATGTCGAATATTAAAGAACGAAAACTTCCACTTGAATAAAAAAGGAGAATGGTATCACCCATGCTGGAAGAAATTCGTGTATGCACGAAACACAAAGTGACCTCTCTCTGACGAATTCGTATTCAGTCATACTTCCTTCCTTTTTAGTTAACTACACCGTTTGAAGACAATAAGCCTCAGATTCGTCATTCTCATCATCATCTACTACATTATCAGTTCTTAAGATGAGATTATACCTGGTAGAAGAAAATATTTATTGTAGAAAACGTAGTACACATTGTTACAACCAACGGACTTAGTCTGTTAAAAACGAGTTTGAACAATCATCATCACAAACCGATGACATGTTGAATAAATTAATTAACGATTTCAAATTAACAACGATCATGGTAAGTCAACCGAGTTGCTATGAATTAAGTCACTTAGTATCAGAAATCAAGCAACAAAAGGAGACACAGAACCAGATTCATGAAAAACGAAACCTGTCTTTAAATTCACTTCATATTGAAACAGACGTAAATCAAATTCTGAACATTTACGGACAAGCTGCCCTGTGTTCCCTTAGCATACATCAGAATGAAATATGGATCTTATACGACTGAGTAATACTAACCAATGGTTTTCGTATTGTTAGTGTCCTTCGATCGCCGTTGTACGAAAATTCCAAGGCATCTGTTGGGTCCGAGGACCTAACTATCTAAAAAGAGGACGGCGTTCTTCAATTCAAATTATCAGAGCAAATGAAATGAAAAATCTCGAACGAAAACTAAAACTTACATCTACGTACTACTTCAGGCATACTAGAATTACAAACTTGTACTTACTACTTAACTAGCTATTAAAATTATAGAAGGCAGAAAACAAAACGTTAAACATTGTAATTTCAACTACAGCCATAGCTTAACTGGGTTCTATGCCGATTTGCGCTCCCCAGATCAACCCCGCTGACGGGTGATTGCTGTGGCAAAAAGATCGATAGAAATAGCTGAGAGACGTGCGAAACAAAGGACCCGCATGGTGTGGTGGTGAAAGCGTTACTCCCCGGAAAGGACAATAGCGCGTTCGTTCCCCACCATAGACACCTGCGGTCCAGAGTTTTGCAAATATCTCAGCAACGTTGTGGTTGTATTTCGCTTACTTAGTAACCTGCCATGAAAATTATATAAGGCAGAAAACAAAACGTTAAACATTAACAATTAAGTTCAATTCGCAATTAATTAACTAAACAATTCAATCGATGATTACTTAGAGGACAATGGAAAAGCGTAAACACTTCGTAAAAAGGGTGATGCACGAGCTGAACGAATAGCAGTAAGAGCGTCGTCGTGAAATCTGTTTTGTACTTCTTCTGCACTTCAAAACGACCCAGTTCTTGACAGCACTGCGAAGAACGGTGAAAATTGAGTCGAACATGACAACCGCTGACGTTCAAGATCGAAATGAAGCCCCTAGACAATTTCCAGACTCCAAATCAATTATTTTGCTAAGATTAAAAACTATCTCATTCGACCGTTTTGATAAGATTTAAAACGTTTTCTTAAATAATACTATATGTCAAGGGCGAAAAACTCATAATAGGTGCCGAGCTACTGGTACAAATTCGCTTTTGGTAAATATTTAGGAGCCTCCTAAAACTCCAAACCGCCCTGACGTAGTCGCTAAAACCCACTTTTTATCGGACAACCTACGATCAAAAAGTAAATCTTTTTTGCAGGATTGCAGGATAAACCCAGCGAAGAGGAGAACTCGTGACAATGACCTTGCTAACACTCGCTAAATTCGTACAGCACCCATTTATCGAGGTCCTCAAACTTTTCAGTGCCGTCCAAATTACCAAGGACTACTAGATCGTGAATGTTAAATCCCTTTATCTTTTAAGTGCTTCTTAGAGGAACGATTTCAGTTGTTGTCTTCATATAGCCGCTGTCGCCTATGAGTATCCCTGACCCTATTCTTCATGAAGACCCAAATCTCCGGTACAAAAAATTCGTACCATCTGCATACTCAGAATTTGAAAGCCAGTCCAGACTACAATGGTATCTCCACTTGCTACCGTTGATTTAAATCCCAATTTGATTAGAAAACGTCGTTATAAACGGGTCTAAAATCATTGTAATCCATATTCCAAAAAAAAATGTGTCCAGAGAAATGGAGAAAAGAACTTACAAATGTGAATCTAACCGTGATTCCAACAACTCCCAAAAATTTCTCATTGTTTCATGAATTTCCAACGTTTTTTCAACAACTTTCAAAATTTTCTAAAGAAGAAAACTCTAAAACGAGCTCAAAAACCCAACAGAGAAGGCAAAACCATGTCAATTCCACTAAAATAATTCTTATAAATATTGTATTGTCGTTCGTAGAACTGGCGTACATAAGAGGGAAAGTATTTAGCAGGAAGTGAAATTAAGAAAAAAAACCAACCGATATGTTATGAGGAGCATGCGCTAAGCCTTGCACTTCTATTCGCTCAATCCATGTCTCGGTTTCAAAACTACTACCAGACGTTGGTTGACCAGCAATCACTGAATTGGTGGGTGATTCTGTTCTGAAAGCACATACAGGTGAATTTCACCAACTCTAATACACAAAGAGATACAAAAGTCTTACTTGTATTCTATTTCAGCTGATATATACGCTCCTTTCATGTAGTCATGTGTAGCCCCGTCATCAAGATAGACACTGCCTTTAGCATATCCCTTTCCGTCAAGAGCAATGAACAACGTTAGAGGATCCTGTGTGATAAAAAAATAACATAAACAAAACCCCAACAGCAAAACAATTGCAGAAGTCTGTTAAGTCTCACTTGTATCATAAGAGTTGACGCACGCCTAATCCGTTGCCAGGATGGTATAATAGTGCCTCCTCGCTGGAAAACTGGCACATGGGTAATCGGGACATCCACATGTAATACACCAGCCGTTCGTTCAATACCGGATTCCCAGTCAAACCAACGTGTTTTCTAATAAACATCTTTAAATAAAAGTAACCACATTTTTTTATTTAGTGCCTAGTCTATTTTCATGTCAGGGTACACTGTGAAATATTTCTACAATGATCCTAAGATGTATGCAAAACTCCGGACCGCAGGTGTCTACGGTGACGATCGAACACGCTAATACCCTTTTCGGGGATAACGCGTTCACCACCACACCAAGCGTGTCCTTCGTTTCGCCTTTCCCTTAGCCGTGGTTTTATAGGTGCATTCCAGAAAAGGCCTAGGATACTGGTAACACTTTAACTTCATTACGACTTTTTATCGACTCCAGTGTACCCTAGTCCTAGTGTGTGGCAGTGAGCATGTTAGCCCTCGAATAGAGTAATAGAGTGCTCGATCCCCACCGCAGACACATGCGGCCCGGAGTTTTGCAGATATCTCAGCATCATTGTAGTTTTGAACAAACTTCGAAACAGTGCTACAGAAATCGAACATAAAGTTGGAAGTCCAATTCATAAAGCAAATGGAGAAACACATTGAAAACCTTATTCTGTTCAGTTGGAAGAACAATTTTCACACTGTATGTGTCTTTCTCAACGACAGGGCGTACCAACAGTGCGCTACCGACCATCCAAGCCTCAAAAACAAAGGTATTAAAACGCAAAGGCTTTTGTGACGAATGCTTAAGTTCTAAACGCAACCAAAATGCTACATAAACCTTTTCTTCTTCATACAAGTTCTCCTCGTTAGGAAATTCAAACCATATCGGTCGCATAGGAGGTGCACCAGTGATCATATGCTCACGGAAAAGTGTGTACCTGAGAAAGTATTGGTTCAGAGCCACATTTTAACCTAAGATATCACGATATTTGATAAATTACAGAGACCGTAGATGATCAAACAGGAACGTGAAAGGTTACGTTGCTTATTTCGAAGACCACGACCACCCGTGGCAATTCATAGCTTGCGAAGCCGTGGCCTCCAGGTTAAACGTAAAAATCTCTCACTGGAGAGTAGCACAATTAAGGAAGATACCGACATCGACAAAAAGCATGCAGAAGACTACCGAAGGATTGACCGACTTTAAGGAAGTGGTAAAAATCAAAGATAATAAAGTGAGAACCGATAATGAAAAAAATTTACGAAGATGTGTTTGTGTCCGAAAACTCTCGAATAATATGTCAGCATGGTTGAGCACGAACAGCAGGCCATTGTCAATATTATACCTTTGCTTAAAAAACTGCAAATAAGCGGCAAAAAAAGACATTAAAGAATGTTGCAGCATTCGGCGAATCTGTAAAGGATTGGAAGCCATACGCAATCCCATTAGGATCTTGCCAACTACTAGGTAAGGATGAGTGGTCAAGATAAATAACCTATAGCCAGTGATCAAAGCACTGCCACGGCTTTTCACATGTTAAAGAATAAAGCTCCCGGCATTTTTCAATCCTTGAGGGATACGCCATGCATTCGACTTCATTAAGTATCGTTGGAGGTGACTGAATGCATACCTGGCCTTTATAATGACTCAAGGTGTCCTATCGATGTATCGAGTCAGTTCTGCTATCCTCTCGGACAAATCTGGTACCAATTTGCCAACCCCGGATGGAGGAGGACATGCTGCTTGTCATAATATAATAATTCCATTCAGGTGAAAATCAAGGAGTTGGTATTGTACGACATACCCACATAGTAATGGAACTCACTGACGTACGAAAAGGTACAAGATGCACCATGCCTCATCTTCATCAATTTTAAAAAAACCGCTAGCTCAGCATAAATGGAAATAACGGCTTTAAAATAACTTTGGACAGCGTATGGCAGCACTCAACACAGAAAAATCCATCATGGATTCTATAGTTACCTCACAAACATAACTTCGCATACTGTAACGAAATCAGCGATACAGAAAAGCAGAATTCGTGCGAATAAGCATCATCTTGTTAAAATTCACAGCCAGTCTCGAAAACTCGGCTCGGCTAGTCGACTGTCACGATTTACAACAAGATCGATTGGGCTTTTGTGTCACAATATAAAACCGTTTTTGTGGCACGAAGTAGTATCCTGGTGCAAGGACTACGAGTAAGTTACGTATATATGTCGTAACATTAACTGCTAGAAAAAAACCTTTAGTACGGAGTTCAAAGATTGCCAATCGCACATGGCCTCCAACCCTAAGATGAGCACAGAGTCTACGAAAAATATGACGATTTTGGTACTTCTAGAGCAATCCAAACCCAAGGAGAAACCTTAATAGGTGAGGCCGAATGCAGGACTTATTTAGTGCTCCGGTGAGTTTGACAATCAAGGACACGTGTTAAAGTCGACAATAGTGGTAGCATGAGATACTATACGTTGAATAATCCATGAAGGGCTTCTGTGAAGCTGCAAAGTAAAAAATTACACAAACCAAAATCACCCATTGCAAATATAACCAACAATAATCAATTACTGCAGGAAAGCTTACCAATATGGAAGTAAAGCATATCGTCTTCTGATAGCTTGGCGGATTGCTTGCATAGTTGGCCTTGAGGCTAACCACGGTTCACGTCTTTTGGTATCAATGTGAGCATGTGCCCTAAATACAGTGGTCAAAAAAACGCAAATACGAGCCACACTAGTGGAAGATAGCACAAAATCGTACATCAAAACCTCTGAAGAAATGCACTACCTCATCATTACTTTACTCCAGCTCTAAAACGTTTCTCCTTTGAAAGTAAAACAATATTTGATGTTCTAACAAATTTTATTAGGACAAATTCATTTCCCCAGGCTTTCACTTAGGCGTCGTAGCTATATAATCTACGACTTTGTCCTTTTCGTTTACACGAAGATAATTGGAGTAAAGGTATAATTCTTTGGAGTCGTTGAAGAAAAACCATGCCATCCACCAGATGAGGCTTGCCCCAGAAGCCTCAGCAAAACGTTTACAAGACAAGATCCACATGAAGAACCACTGATGGCAATCGATTGTACAAGGTGGCAGGCCCTTTTAGTTTACTCTCATAATCAAGACTACTCATGACAACTAACAATTCTTGAATCACTTCTCTTAACATCGCAGTCTCCGGTGAGACATAGCATAATGAATTCGGATAGATTACTATAAAATAAAACTTTTACTTGCTGATTATTTCTTTTCTACTACAGGGTACTATGTGAAATTCAACTAGAAAGATGCTGAGATATGAGCAAAACTCGGAATCTCAGCTGGGTTCCCAACCCGTTATTACAATTACAGAGGACTTACGTGCTCTATACCATGTCAACTGATGCCCCTTGCTTTGGCTTCGTCTCAGCTAGTTTTTACTCCAAAAAGAATACGCAGTACGTAAAAATTAAAACATTACGAAATGGTTTTGCATAAATGCTCTCACCGTTATCCCACGGGTTCGAGCATGGTTTTTTTTCAGATACCCCAGCTACAAAGGGTGATCATAAGGAAACAAATACAGTGGATGAATCTTCAGAGATTGGTAAGAGCGTCCCCAACATCCCATTGCGCTTTTTGAGTTAAAACTCCCAAATTATCTCTGCAGAGCACAAACAAAATAGCCACTGCATCCAGTTCAAAGCACAAGATTGTATACACCTTATAAACCAATATCTTTCACAGCCACGACTGTTTCCACACCCTAACATAGATGTCATTTGTTCTCCTTTCCAACGTCTAACATGTTGCTTCTTCGGTTAAGATCCGTACAACACCCAGACAGACCAGAATCGAATCTGAGAATCTGAAAAACCTTCCGCAACTACTCATCAATACACTGCCGGACTTTCGACACGTTACCTGTTAAAATTCAAGGTTCCGAAGCAATGAGAAACCAGCAGGACTGTGTTGCTACAGAAGAAGGGAAACCCTTGATAATATGACACTGGCAACTATCGCCCATTTGGCACAACGTCTATATTACACATGCTCTTCACTCAAGTCGTTCTGAACAGAACCAACAGACCATAGAATGAAGCCGAGTTGTGTCAGCAATGAGTATTTTCAAATGGTCAGCATTATGAGTCACAACGAAACAAAGTGAAGAAAAGTTAGATTGACACAATGGAGACGACGCATAATTTTGCGTGGTCTGCCTATAGATTAAGCTTAATTTTCGGCTGTTGCATACCTCCTGGTCCATCAGACATGTACGCTAGTGTTTTGAGAACCAGTAGGCTTAAGAGATTGAAAACGTCATAGGAATACAGAAAAAACTTTGTTCTATCGCTCCATTGGTAGAAACGGTATGTATGCTTCTATTTACTACACAGTACTATGGCCCGTCATATAAACACATTACTGGTGGCAATATGGGAGCTTTAGAACTTATTCTGAGCCTATTTTTCTATATACTATACCCGTCCACTTTATCCTATAACTACGAATGATATCACCTGTTCTTCCGTTGATTGTCGAAGTGCTTGGGCGTTCCCTGTCGCGTGCAAGAGTAATCCAGTGCGTTCTGTTCTCTCCAGGGACCCGTTGAGCATCTCACGTTTCTTCTAGGCTTTTCGTGAAGAACTATGACTAACGCGTCGGTGGTCTTCCTGCAGTACGTTTGACATCTCAAGGAACTAGTCACTAACGGCTCCTCTCTATCGGTTGTCGTTCATGCGCATTATGTATCTGGTCCATCTTATCTTCGACAGTTTGGCGTATAGAACGGCACCTTAATTTTTTGATCGTTGACGCCGGCAGGAGCTTTTCATTACTTTCTTCACATGTATGACACGGGATACTCCTAGCTCCGCCCTTTCAAATGCGCTCTGAGTAATGCCGAGCGATCTTTCATCCTGCTGACGCAGCGACCAGGTACCTGACGCATACATTAGGGAAAGAAGAATGGTGGAGTTGAGAATGTGGTCGGCGGGGTTGTGCTTTCTTTGTTCTTTTCAATGCATCTTCGATGCTCTTGGAAGCTCCCGAACCGCTCATTTCCTTCTGCTCAGTTCTGGAGCTAAGTCGCTCCTCATGTTGATTTTCCGGCCTAGACAGACATAACTGAGTATTCCAAGTGAATGGGACACGACTTTATCAAAATCGGCAAGAATACGTACCGCTTGGCTAATGTTTGGTGTTATAAGGACGATGTCATCAGCAAAGCGAAGATGATGTAATTGCCGACCATCGATTTGCACTCACATGTTATCCCATTCCAATGTTCGCACGACGCTCTCAATGGCGGTAAACAGTTTTGGCGAAATGGCATCGCTTTGTTTAACCCCTCTTTTGACGTCAATGTTAATCAACATCCTTATAGCGGTTACAATTGAAATAGCAGTCATTTGCTAGTCAAATTACCGGTCAAGGTACTCGTTCAAGAAAATGTACATATACATTTTTAATTGAAGAATAAAGCTTTCCCAGTTGACGCGCGGTTCAATATCTGAGTTAGACAAGTTATCGAATTTCTACAAAACGTGCTGGAAAAGGTTTCTTCGTGCCAAAATAAAGCATCACAAACGAAAAAATTGGCGTCTACAGAACTCATACCGGTCACAGTGTCCCATTACAAATGGCACCTATTACCTCTCCTCTAAACAAACGCGTTAAATGTGCCATTTGTCTCATTTCGCCATTTCGTAAGAGCTTAAACTTACTCGAGACCAAGGCGAACACAACCCTGCACAATCGGGGGCGTCTCTTCTCAGTACGTTTATGAGTTATGTGGCAACTACACACTCAAAATTTCTCTATTCAACAAATACATTATTACAATTCGCGTAAAAGTATTAGACGAGCAATACCACATCGTCAAAATTGTTTCGAGTAACTACACAGAATATCACGGGAAAACAAACGGGATAACACAGAACTGAAAGTCGACGACTACGAGCTGCATCGTCTTTGTCTTGCTGGTGATAATGTTCTTGTAACACCAAGCATTATCCATGGTCTTTGGCTAAATCCTATGAAGATGAAAGGGATGGAAAACAGACTTGTTTCCGTTGAGCCATCCACATTCAAGAAATATCTCCAAATTTTTTGAACTATGTGCATTCGAGTCAAAAAGTTAACATAATATGGCCAACCAATTGGGTGAAAAGTTGAGCAAGTGAGCAGAACGAAGTGAGCCGCCAGTGAAACTTAAAAAGGTACCGAAGAAGTAGCGAAGAAGAAAAGCAAGTGAAAATCCATTCATCTCCAAGACTGCGATTCCAACTTAACCTGACTCTGAAACCTGGATAATATGTAATCAAAACTAAAGACCACCCGTTTCGCATATCACCAGCAGCTGAGAGAAGAAGTCCAATGTTTCGATTTACTTCGGTCGCAAAAAATCATAGCCACTGTAGCACAAGTATGGAAAATACAACCCAATAAAAACATGAAGATGAAGACAAATCGTGTATAAGAGAATAAGAGTATATATTTGATCAAGTTTCGTTCCTGTATGGTAACAGATACCGTTAATTTCAGTGTTTTCCTGTTAATAAAATACTTCCACAATTCCAACACCTGAAGAAAAACTACAAGAATACCTGAAAAACGGTTGGAATGAGCCTGCTTGATACCAACGCGTAAGGAGCTGCTCGTCAGGATTGCCAAAGAATCCCCCAACATCTGCTCCTATAACATTGTGGCGAACATCTCAAACAGAAAAACTGCAATGCTCAGTTTAAATTCATTCTTAATAAACCATTTTAGCGATTACTTTCTAATACTATCAATGTCTCTGGACCGCAGGTGTCTATAGTGGGGAACGAACGCGCTATTATCCTTTCCGGGGAGTAACGCGTTCACCACCACACCATGCGGGCCCTTTGTTTCGCACGTCTCTCAGCTATTTCTATCGATCTTTTTGCCACAGCAATCACCCGTCAGCGGGGTTGATCTGGGGAGCGCAAATCGGCATAGAACCCAGTTAAGCTATGGCTGTAGTTGAAATCACAATGTTTTAACGTTTTGTTTTCTGCCTTCTATAATTTTCATGGCAGGTTACTAAGCGAAATACAACCACAATGTTGCTGAGATATTTGCAAAACTCTGGACCGCAGGTGTCTATGGTGAGGAACGATCCTTTGAGGAAAATGCGGGTCCTTTGTTTGGTGTTTGGGCATGGTGTGGTGGTGAACGCGTTACTCCCCGGAAAGGATAATAGCGCGTTCGTTCCCCACCATAGACACCTGCGGTCCAGAGTTTTGCAAATATCTCAGCAACATTGTGGTTGTATTTCGCTTAGTAACCTGCCATGAAAATTATAGAAGGCAGAAAACAAAACGTTAAAACTATCAATGTCCTTTCGCCATGAAATTGTGTATATTTACTCATTTCACCACTGTGATCTTAAATGCGGAAAACTGCGAAGAGTAAAGTATACTACATACCCACAAAAGGCACACCAGACACCGACAATGATAACAACATCGCAGCCGTAATGGCTAAGTGATCCCAGTCTGCAGTGTTATCTCCTGTCCATACTGCGGCAGTACGTTGGGTCCCCACAAAGCCAGATCTGTGACAATAAGCAAATAGTAGAAACCAGCCACAACGCTTTCAAACTATAGCCATTTTAAACAAACCGAGTAAGTATGAATGGACGGTCCTTACCACCAGTGCGTTGCATTTGGCCTTGGAAAGTGGAGGAATGTTGCCATAAGCCATACATATTGTGCACCTTAAAACAATCATAAATCAAAAGGAAATCATATAAGGACACGAACCAACTAAACGTACTTCTCGGTGTTCAATACCACCAAAGTGAAGGGCGTCCTTATTCATCGTTACTTCTGGTCCACTAAAAACCTAAAAGCACAAGTAAAGAACAACCTCATCACGCTCTCGATAAAATAGTGTTAAGAGTATTGGTCAGAAAACGTACTGAGGGCTCATTCATATCGTTCCAAGTGAAAAGATTCGGAGTTGATCCGATGTAACGTTCAAATGCAAATTGAGCAGCCCAATATTGGCGCGTCTAAAACCTGTTTAACTTGCTTTGAAGCTCAAACATATCACTGCAGATTACAGCATATTTACCTGAGGATTGAGAAAGTCTAGATAAGCACTTGATCCAGGCCAACAATGGCCTTCAAAGTTGGTGCTCCCATCAGATTTCTTTACATACAATTCCAAATCCTTAGCATCCTTGTATATTGGGTAGTTGTTATCAATTTTGATATGAGGATCGATAATGGTTACCATTTTGCGCCCCTTAAAGGAAACGGTGTAAATCAAAGGATGCAAGGAAGCAAGGAACAATAAACTCAATTTACAGAAATACGACTATAATGATGCTGAGATATTTGCAAAACTCCGGACCGCAGGTGTATGCGGTGAGGAACGAACGCGCTATTATCCTTTCCGGAGGCTAACGCGTTCATCACCACACCATACGGGTCTTTCGTTTCGCCTGTCTCTCAGCCAGTTTTCTCTCTACCAGTGCCATCAGCAAACACCCGTTTCGCAATTCACTTCAATTCATAGAATTTTTCAGCATACCTTGGCAGCCACTCTATTTACCATTTCGCGTGGATGTGGGAACTTGTGCTCGTCCCAAGTGAAGTACCTTTTACCTTCGGTATGCTCGATATCCAACCAAATTACATCCATCGGTATATCATACGCGTCGAATTTCTCGTTTACCTGATAAACGTATAAAAACAGTTTTTTCTGGAACAGTATTAACGAAGAAAGATAAAGTACGGTCCACATAGAGGCTTATTACTTGGATACTTAGATGGCCCGACTTCACTGGTTATGCGGGACCCAGCATAATTTCCATTCTTTTCGCAGTTTTGCTGGTTAGCTCTTGTGGTTACCTGGAGTAACAAGGTCGGCCCAACAAAAGTCTGCCCTCTGGTTATCACCACCACAGGTAGTCGCCGCCCTTGTTGATAGGAGTGAGATTTGCCACCAGGTGACTGGTTTCATATCAAGATGGTGGTAGATCCTGGTATTGGTTTACTCCTAGAAGAGCTTCCCGACGGAAACCCCGGACTCATTCTCAGCTTGAGGGCCCTGCTTAGGGATGAATAGTCCCACTGTGCCTTGCAACCTGACACCCAGGAACACCTTTCAGCCACAATGAGACGATAAACTGTTGGGAGGTGAAAAATTATGGCAATTTGAAAAATAACAGATGGAATATGAATGAGTTTTTAAACCTGATCCACGTCCTCCTCATCATTGTAGTTCCATCGTGATTGATGATAACCTATAGAGAAAATAGGAGGAAGAGGGGTTACCTGCAACTAGTCGTAAAAATATTTAATAAAATAAAAAAGAGATTTATGGATTAGAAATGGACAAGAACTTTTCCATAGATACGAAAACACACTCCAGTTATTCGTGATAGTTGTCGCTGAATATCACGTGGTCCAGGACCTCCAAAGAAAAAAACGTCCACTATACCGGTTTCGGACATGAAATGTGCATCAAAATGTGGGACACCTTCTACAGGCATTACCTAAAACTTCACAAAACTATAAAGCAAAAGAATAAATGTTTAGTCTAACGAGCTAGCGTCAAAACGTAACGTAAAACCACGCACCCTGTCTATCACGCTACGAAATAACCCTTTCGAATCTGCTGAAGATTGTGTATCGATCCACGTTTCAGCAGCATTCAACCTCAACAAAACAGCTGATTAAAGGAAAAAAGTTCTAACAATGATAATGATAAGCATAAATACACCACTAGTAAGTTATGAACAGTAATCTGAAACAAATCGTCACCTTTTCTACTTACCACTATTCAAAGATCATAATAAAAATTTAATGGACTGGCTATAGTTGACAGTACATAAAAAAAATCTTGCTTTACTAATGAAGCATGAAATCTATCCTCCTAACGATTAACCTCCTCATCGTAGCTGGGAGGTGTTTCTGGGTGTCGGCCTGCAATGTCCAGCAGGGTGATTCAATCTTTTAGCAGAGTCTAAAAATCTGAGAAGAGATCCGGTATTTCCATTAGGAAACCTAGTAAATAGTAAACTAATCCTAGGATCCACCACCGTTCTGGTATCAAACAAGTCGGGCCCCCGACCGCTTGTGGTGGTGAAGACCTGGGGCTGACTTTGGCTAGGCTGACCTCGGGACTCCAGGGAACCACAATCGCTAAACCAGTAGAACTATGAAACAGTGGAAATTCTGCTAGGGCCAGCACAACCAGTAAAGACGGGCCATCCAAGTATCCAAGCAGGTATCCAATATGAAATCTATAGCGAATTGAAAGGAGATTAGTAGAACTAGCTATTTACTTCCACATACGGTTAGATAGGGTAAAATTACAGACAAAACCTCAACTAGTCAAGATAAAATCCATTAAATAAAGAAAACTGCTTCATGTTCAATTAAAAGAAAAACTTCAAAGAAACAGCACAATAAATGTGGAACCTGAAAAGACAGAAAAGCTTACCAAAGTGCCCCTAAAGTTGCATTTTTCCTATGTGCGACTATATATGGCACTGAAAGGTAGAGCGACATTGGATTGCCCAGTTCGTACTCGAACACATCAAGATTGTACAATCTGAGATGAAAAGACAGATGTACTAAATAAACATCCAATCATTTTCTCAATAAATTAGGTACCTAAAAGGATCCGTATTGCCGACTGTGGACTTCAAAGCAAATGAATCAGCATGTTCTGGTAGACCATATGCGTTCCGGAAACCGATGAATGAAATATCAACCTTGAAATGGTCCTCACTACAGAATGTTGCTACACATTGTTAGGGGCAAAGTGCAAAAACAGGAGACTTTACATGAACTTACTCCAATGCTACTGGATCCAAAAGGCTTGCTATCTGTAAAACTCTTAAAACTCTCCTCCCAGAAGTTCTCTGGATATTCTTTCCCTTCCTCCTTTACACGATATTGTTCGACCTAGAAATAGGTGAAGATAAAGGATAAAGGGCAAAGCTCTCAGCGTTGATCAATCCTTGAGGAAATGCTTCATGCACTCGACTTCACTAAGCATCGCTGGAAGTGATCAAATGCATATCTGGTCTTTAAAATGACTAGCGGTGGCCTACCGATGTGTCGAGCCAATGTTGCTATCCTCCCAGACAAGTCCCGTACCAATGTGTCGACTCCGGAGGAATGGAAGGCATGGTAACCCTGGGGCGTGGGGTCGATCCTATGTGTATTGCACGGCGCCTCCGACCACTGCCGCATATGGGCCACAAGTTCATCACAGTTACGAAGGACAATATGGCTGTTCCAAAGATAGAAGCACAACTAGCTACCAGAGATGAGAATGTTAAGGTGCAGGTGAAAATACTAACTAAGCGTAACACGTTTTTTACCTTCAGCTTACCATCCCTATTCATTTGAGCCACAAGTTCACCATATTCGTTATAAACATCCATAAAAAACGGCTTAAACGTAACGACAACCTAAATGCACTCCATTTAAGAAATCCCTAGGTGGAACCCAATGTCATAAGAAGTCCTAGAATTGGTGCTCACCTTCAATTTCCCGTCTCCTGTTGTTAAGTGGACAGAACCACTTTTAATCTCAACATTGGAAAAATCTACCTAAAGCAAAAGTAAACTATAACAAGCGACTAATCCTTACTCTAGTCAACAAAGAAAAAACAGCATGATTTAACAGAACCTCTCCAGGTTCGCCATCCAGTGCTTCAGCTGGGACAAAACGCTTCCTGATACTCTCTTCAGATTCATCTATTTGGATACGAACTGATGCATCCTAGAAGAGGTTTGAATTTTAGGGTTCATTAGATATCAAAAAGGCCAAGCACTAAAGTTCGCAACACAAACAGCAGAAGTTGAAATTTTGAACTTCTTTAGAACACAACCATATAATTTAGAAGCCGATCATATCCTATTTTTCAAATGTTGAGAATGGTCACCTAGGACTCGAAGGAGGTAAAAGAATTTAGGATAATGCTCTCAGTGGTGACCAGTTACTGAAGGATTCCCCATGCATTCAAATTCAATAAACATCGTTAGAGGTGATTGACTGCATGTCTGGCCTTTACTCGTCGTGGCCTACCAATGTACCGAGACACTACTACTTTCCTCCCAGACAGTTCTGGAACGAATTTGTGGAGCATGGAAGAAGGATGGAGGTCTTGGTGAACCTGGAGCACGGAATCGAACCCATGTGTATTGCAGGGTACCTCTAACCACTGCGCTGCACGTAACTCTCTAAGGAGGTACGCTTCCAACAATAATCTCTGAGAAAAGCTTAACTTAAAAATCAGGAATACTAAATGGAGTGGCAACTATGACAAACTCCCCAACGGTTTACGGCCTCATCGTGGGTGGGAGGTCTTCCTGGGTGTCGGGCTGCGGCATACAGCGAGGAAATTCATTTCACTACAAGGTCTCTCAAGCTGAGGAGTCCGACGTTTCCATCGGGAAGCCCAGATAAGAGCGAATCAATACCGGGATCCACCACTGTCATGGTATCAAACTATCTGATCCACAACATCGGCGACTGCTTGTGGTGGTGGAGACCTGGGAAAGACTTCGGCTAGGCTGACCTCAGGACTCCAGAGAACCACAATGGCTAAATCAGCAAAACTTCGAAAAAAATGGAAAGCATGCTGGGGTCCGTACAACCAGTGACGACGGGCCACCCGAGTATCCAAGTAAAGAACTAGGGCAAATGATTAGTTTATATAAGATACACACTAAAGGTCCTCTAGAATCCATCAATAAAATCGAACTATGAGATTTTACGCCTTGAAGAGCTACTAGAAGAATAACCGTTGTACTGCACACTGTACTGCCCTACATTTATTCACTCACCTTAAGGCCGTAAAGTCGGAAGGCAAGCTTGCCTTCAGAGTTCTGCAATATCGCATCGATTCTCGATCGAACAGACTTCAACGATTGCGGAACTAATTCATAACCAGTATTTTCCTTAAGAGAATTGTTTTGCGAGTTCCTAGGTCGTGCTGTTAAAGTAAAGTTCCTGGATTAAATCGATTCCTGAGCCTCCTCAGGACAAGGAATATCCTTCTTCAGTCCAATAAAACTAACCGAAATAGCCCGATGTCGCTTACAAAAACCCGATTGTTCGCATGTTTTGAAATCTTCTCGCCTAACGGCTAAAGTGCCAATCAGAAGCACTAGTAGAACTACCCTCCGACAGACCATAGGGTAGACTCGATGTACCCTAAACTATAGGATAACAACTGGTCTAACCGAACAAATATAGATATCTCGAGAGGGAAATGAAAGCACTGTAGCGAAGATTCCCACGCTACAAGGAAAAATGTGCGTTTAGACAGATCAGACGACTTAAAAGCAAGCAGAGTAACAAGAAAAATGAGAAAGAGAAATTTAAATCCATATAGAAACCCATAAAGCGTTAGGATCTCGATAAGGACTATAACTACTAGCTCTGCATTGTGACGTCGGGTTACGGGCGTTTCGGAGCTCGTTACGATATTTGTCCGCAAATGCAGACATCCAATTGATGTAATGTGGACGACTGATTTTGGATGCAATTTTGCTATGCTGGGACTGAATCCAAGGAAAAATGAAGGATGAAACTCGGCATTGATCAATCCCTGAAGGCATCATGCTTTCGATTTCATTACGCATCGTTGGAGGTGACCGAATGCATATCCGGCCTATACAGTGACTCGTGTTGACCTACCGAAGCATTGGGCCAGTGCTGCTATCCTCCCAGACAAGTCTGGTATCAATTTGTCGATCCCGGAGGGATGGGAGGCTTGTTGGGCCATGGGAGTGGGGGGAAGATCTCATGCATATTGAAGGGCGCCTCCGACAACTGCGCTATACGCACTCAATCTGAATAGCAATTTTAATCAAAAGCAGAGCCTTTGAATCTATAAATTTTCGTTAGAAACGTGGAAGTGTTTGCTTCTACAACTAGTGTGGATTACTAGTCATCTGGAAACGTCGAATTCCTCGGGGCATTTCCAGATGACTAGTCCAGATGACTGGGTTCGGTTGTGGAACATTCTCTGACAAAGAGTTATCGAGATGTGTAAAGAAACAGTAATCGATTGGAAAAAGGTGGTGTATATTGGAGAAGGTAGAATTTCTTAGGTCTAACACCTACAGGTTTTCTTGATGAGCTCATAATAAGTTACTATGCCCTTTCTTTACAAGAGCTGATATCTCCTCTGTGACAGCTCTTCTACGAAGACTCCTAGGAAACAAATCTGAAGGAGGTAAAGTTCGCCGAAACCTCGCCTTTTGTGAATAAAGAGTAAAGTAAACAGCGAATTACTGTAAAAAAGGTTTGGGTTATTACAACGTTCTCGAGCAGTGGAATGACTAATCATGAAATTTCACAAAGGAATCGCTGTCTCTCGAGGAATCCGGCTGTCTAGGTAGAAAATTTCTTTGCGATCCACAAAGGCAGGTAACTTTTTGTGCTGACGAGCAGAAAACGGCCTACACCAGGTTTTCATGTTCTGGGATTACCGAGAAAAACACGCTCGAGTAGTATTCAGAATGTTAGTGGGAAGAGGATACGACTAGGCCTCAACATGCTGGAATCCACACATGAGTTAGACCCTCCATTGATGGCGGCTTCAAAACAACGGAACGAGGAAATACACGATATGTGAGAATAGGTCATTTCCAAGAAAGTTGATACTCTACTGTCGAATCCGCTCTCAACAGAAGTGGTGAACTGGCGATGTGTCGTCATGATGCTGTTACACTAAAATGATAAAGGATAAAGCTCCTGTCGCTGATCAATCCCTGAGGGATACGTCATGCATTCGACTTCATTAAGCACCGTTTGGAAGTGATTGAATGCATACTTTGCCTTTGTAATGACTCACAGTGGCCTACAGATGTATCGAGACAGTGCTGCTATCCTCCCACTCAAATCTGGTACCAATTTGCCGACCCTGGAGGAATGGAAGGCTTGATGGGCCATGCGCGCGGGGATCGATTTCACGTGTGCGCTGCAGGGCGCCTCCGACCACTGCGCCACACGCGTCCTTCTTGGTTCAGTAGTAGTTGGAATTCATACGTATGACAGGCCAATCGTTTGGCAACAAGCGATCACAGAGTGGTACCGACTTCGCCCATGTTAGACAACTCTTTGATGCGGACAGGATGGTCAGGATGATCTAAGGATGATGAGAAGAGTAGACAATACGTGCAACAAGCTTCTGTGGCAGTAGCAACGATTTTTACGAGGGTTATAGAGCACAATTTCTGCAGTAGTCCATGTTGTTCGACTTCTCGAAAATTCTTGAAGCTCTTTGATTTTGGCAAAAGGCTAATATTTGTTATGAGCTTACAGAACATATTCAGTATACTGAACCGTCAATGTGCAAACCTCATGGGTCACCTTTGTCTGGTGAGATACTACCCGTGGTCCTTTACAAGTTAAAAACATTTCTTCTGAAAGTGCGCATTATTGATTATGAGACGTGTGTATTGTTAGCTACTTCCAACTTGAAGAGAATCGCCTGAAGTTTTCTACCCTTGGACATATTCTCATGGTTTCTATGCCACCTTGAGAAGAAAGAATTCGGAGTAATTGAAGTGTTAGAATGATGGCTGATGTTCAATGAAGATATTTTTTGGGTCATCTTTAAAAGTCGGTATCTAAACCTCAAGTTAGAAAATATATTTTTTAATGTCATGTGTTGGGAAAGTAGATCTATGATTGTAGTATTTGCTAATGGTTTCTTAGTTGTCCTGAACATGAATATAGTGATTTGCAATAATTATTATGATGTCTTGGCTCCCTAATTTTTTAATGGTGAGGTTAGATTCACGGCCGCGATTTCTGACAGTAGTGAATTTGCGTGTGCTTAGAAAAATCCGTAAACAAGACGTAGTCTTACAAAACATAACCTTAATCGTACCCTCGATGCGCGATCTTATGAGGTACAAAGACTAGGATGGGAATGGAAAACTAAGATGGACGTAATTGGACGAATCAAGACACTGTAACGATTAAGAAAGTTATGGCAAAATCGTGCTAAGCGCAGTGACTAGTGGTGCTGCGGTGTACACATGGTCATTGTTTCGATCTCGAGACCAAGGCTCGTCAAGGGTTCCATCTCATTTGTGTGGGGAAATTGGTACAAGACAAGTCTGGGAGGATATCAAGCAGCATTGACTCGATAAATCGGTAGGCCACCGCGAGTCATTGTATCGGTCAGATATGCTTTCAGTTACCTGTAACGATGTTTAGTGAAGTCTAGTGCTGAGGCATCCGTGAGGGATCGGTCAACGTTGAACGCTTTATGCTCATCAAAATAAATTGAATTTCCAAATAATTATTGCCACTCCCGTAAAGAAAGATTAAGCGAGGAATGGAACAAAAGAATGTAGTGCAGAACTACAATAACTTTGTAAACAACCCGGGTTCCTCGTGAAGTAGAAGACGTGAGTATTTTTTAGGGCCGAACTTTGTGGGAATCCGCAGATCTTACGATGAAGGAATTACTGTTGAGCTATAACACCTTTGCTATCGGGATGCAATCAGAGCATCTTGCGATGTGGGGTCAGTCTTATCAACATTTTGACCAGTTCAGTAAATAGATAAATAAGATGCTAGGAAATCTTTACGTTTGACAACTGAGTAACATAGGTACCTCTTTAGATGCAAAAGGCAAAATTAGTGAAAGAAATTAATGGATAAGAATGGTACGTCGGGTAACAAATTTATTTGCGCGAATTCTATCATTCGTTGCCGCCTTGAAGCACGGCAATTTTAACAAACTCTGATATTATTCTATTACTTACTTGGATAATAGGACGGCCCGTCATCATCGGTTGTGCGGGCCCCAGCATATTCTCCGCTTTTTGAAGTTTAGCTGGTTTAGCCGTTTTGTTTCCGTGGAGTGCCTAGGTCAGCCTTGCCAACGTATGCCCCAGATCGTTACCGGAACAGACAGTCGCAGCACTTGTGGAACAGAGGGAGATTTGCCTCCATACGACTTCGACACCAGGAGGACGGTGGTAGATCCTGGTGTTGGTTTACTCTTAGCTGGGCTTTCTGTTGGAAACGTCAGACTCCTCAGCTAGGGGGACCCTTACTGGTGAGTGGGATGATAACCCCGGCTGTACATCGCAGCCTGACACCCAGGAACACCTCCGAGCTGTGATGAGGCTGTAAACCTGTTGAGAGGGATATATATGCATACTATATATATATATATATATATATATATATNTATATATATATATATATATATATATTTACATGCACATTTATATATATGTATATAGAAAACTGCAGTCTTGAGCGACGGATACATGTAGATAACACTTGGTTAAATACTTAGTTTACCTCCGATGTAGACTGGTTCAAGAAATTCTCCTATTCGGCTATTCACGAACTTGATGGAACGGCTTCGTCTGCTGCTTGGAGCCCTGTTATCTTCAGCTGTTATCAACATTTTGAATGCTGGGCATATGTATTTTACGTGGGAGAGCGAGAGGACCGGGTTGGGGAATTGTCGGGTCGTCACTACAGGTATTTACTGGGTTTCGTTGATCGAAGGGAAGTTTCCTGCCTTCGACTAGGCGTGGTCCAATAGACAGCGATTTCTGTGAAATCAGTGAGCATTGCGATTGGCCGACTTCCCTATCGATGAAAATGTAACAAGCTACGTAGGCTAGTTACAGTTGAATATGAGCTATTATTACTTGATATAAGAAGTCGACTCTGTTAGAATGTTGATATATTTATTCATATGATCTTATAAACTGATCTTCTTGAGCTGACGCAAGCTTGGTGCAGGTCTTCGCTATCGTTGTCGTTGTTTTTGATGTTGTTGGTCGATGGCTGACGTTTCGGCGACTTCGCCTTCCTCAGAGCCTGGACGTATTTTAAATTAAAATATTTTCATTATTCGGTGGAAAAAGGTTAAAGTATTAATTGAAGACCAAACTTTCAAATAGACGCCATATTGAACAGAACGGCCACTCACCGTGGCGTTACGCGTGGGACTGGCTCACACGTAGTTCACGTGTGGTCGCGAGCAAGACACGCTCCGGGGTCAAAATATCATTTTGAAATATGGCGCCAGGTCACGCGTGATAGTGAGGCATTCGTCTTTCCGGTTCATCTTTGGATTTTTGAAATTTATCTGATCTGTTAGAATGTTTTATTACATCATGAGATGCAATGGCCATTATAGTAGTGA